ATGCACCATCACACCTGGCTTTATTGCTATTTTTAAATTGGGTTTTTGGGATTTTCTTTCTCCTCTTCTTTTTTTTTTTTTAATTTGTTCTTATTATTTAGACAATAGAATGTGTTTTTGACATATTATACATATATGGAGTATAACATCCCATTCTTCTGATTGTACATGATGTGTATTGGTTATGTATTCATATATGAACATAGGAAAGTAATGTCCAACTCATTTCTACTATCTTTCCTATTTCCACCTCCCTTCCTATCCCTTCATTCCCCTTTGTCTAATCCAATGAATGTTTAGTCTTCTCTCCCCTTATTGTGTGCTAGCATCCACACATCAGAGAGAACATTAGGCCTTTGATTTTTTGTGATTGGCTTATTTCACTTAGTATGATAGTCTCCAGTTCTATCCATTTACTGGCAAATGTAAGGCCTTTCTTGACAATCACATTTCTACTATTAGACAGATCAAATGGTACATCAAGTTAATTTATTTTCTTTTTCCAACTTGAGGACAATTATCATTTATCTTTCTTTGCTGTGTATTATTTATCATACATACATTTTCCATCTTCCAAGATCGCAAGTGAAAGTACACTTGCAGAGTCCACATAACAGTCCAAAGACCACGCCACACACCAGAATCCCATGCAAGAGATTTATTGTAGGTAGCAGGAGGCATACCAACAAGGCCGTGCCTCCCAGGAGAGCAGTAGCCTGTTGGCTCTCACAGAGCAGCTTTATAGCCCGCAAGAGGAATCTCATAAGTTTAAACTGTGGTGGGATTGATTGTAAGCTGCTTAGGAGTTTAAGCTGGGGTGGGGTTGATCGTTTCTTTTAGCAGGCACATGTTCTTATGGGAAGTTAAGTAGCGTTGCCTCAAATCAAAACTTTGGAAACTCTAGATAAAATGGTTCCTGACCTAAAATGGTGAATCTGATGCCAATATTGATCTGATGTCAGTATTGTTCTGATAACAATAGCAAGTTCACCTTTTATCTTCTGTTATCTTTTCTCACATTTACTTCTGGGGTTTTTCCTTTTTAATAGTGTAGTCATTTTGTTATGGTTTCTGGAAAAAATGGAGATAAATATGTCTTCACCTAAGAAGATCTTAGGTGCAGATAAAGGAGTAAGAAAATAAGAAACATGGGGATTTCTGTTTTCTACTTTTATATACTACATTGGTATGTAATGCCAATTAGTTACATTTGCCATTAATTCTGTGCCCCACGTGTGTAATTGTTTAATGCTTGTCGCATGTGTATTTGTGAGGTTTAATGTTTTTGTATACTATTGTATACAGTTGTATTTCTTTTATTAATTGCCCTTCATGTTCATTATTAATCTCTTTTTACATATTAAAATTTTCTATGTAAGCATTTCTTTCCATTACAACTTTTTAAACAAATTACTCTTCTATTTTTAGATAACTATTGTTTTCATTTTCCTCTATTTTTTATTTTCTTCTTCATTGGGAGAAACAATTTCTAGAATAAAGAGAATAAAGACAAACCAAAATAATCTGATGTAATGCTCTGATATAATTAGCTTTATATAAAAGCATGAGTTCCATTATGAGAGAAGGTGAAGCCTGTGATTATTTATCAGTTGTCACTCTACAGCCTGAGATCCCGGGTCTGCTTCCCAAATATCATGCTTTAATTTTTCTCTCTAGGAATGAGCTGTAATTCTTCTATAAAGAAGAATGCACTGATAGGAGTACAGCCAGTACCAAGTATATTTTCTAACCTCAACGCAGTTTGACAAGATAGTGGAAAAACCCAACAAAAAGGGAAAAGAAGTCTTTCCTCTGTTGTAAGGGGACGGCAGCTTAGAAGGAAAACTATAGTAAATATAAGGGAAATAACAGAAGCTATCATGATGGGAATCTAACTGTATTATTCCTTTTTTTTTAAAGAGCATTAAAATTATAGTATTTGGGTTCATTTTGCCAAAATCATACATGAAGAAATTTGATTTCAGGCCCCACTTTTCCTCCCCTCCTCCCTTCTCCTATTCTCCCTCCTCTACTAAACTTCCTTTCTTCTACATATACATAAATGTGAAAATCCTTTTGCACCCTTTATATATGAATATAACATGATTTTGTTAAATTTATTCCATATTCTCTTTTTCCTTTCTTCCTCCCTCCCTCTCTTATTCTCCTTCTTGTACTCCACTGATGTTTCCTGTATCATTATGATATACAATCTTCTTGGCCAACTGCCACCTTTCTTTTGCTTTGCTCTTGCTTCCACATATGAGAGAAAACATTTGACCTTTGATTTCTGAGTCTGGCTTATTTCACTTAGCATGATTTTCTCCAGGTCCATCCATTTACTAGCAAATGCCATTATTTAATTCTTCTTTATGGTAGAGTAAAACTCAATTGTGTATATATGCCACATTCTCTTAATCTGTTCATCTCTTGTTAGGCACTTCGATTGATTCCATAATTTGGCTATTGTGAACTGTGCTGCTATAAACATTGAAATGGTTGTATTTGTATATTGTGATGATTTTAGATCTTTTGGATAAATACCAAGGAGCAGGGTAGCTGAATCACAATGGTGGTTCCATTCCTAGTTTTTTGAGGATTTCCACACTGCTTTCTAGAGTAATTGTACTAATTTGCATACCCTCCAAGAATGTAAGAATGTACCTTTTTCTCTCAATCCTTGTCAGCATTGATTACTGTTTGTGTTCTTGATAATTTCATTCTGACTGAAGTGGTATGAAATCTTAGTGTAATTTTCATTTGCATTCCCCTAATTGCTAGAGGTTCTGAACATTTTTATCATATTTTTGTTGGCCATTTGTGTTTCTTCTTTTTGAGAGTGTGTTTTTAGTTCTTTTGCCCATTTATCGATTGGGCCATTTGTTGGGGGGGGCCTTGAGGGTTTTTTTTTTTTTTTTTTTTTTGAGTTCTTTATATATTCTGGATAGTAAAAGTTCTTTATATATTCTGGGAAAAAATCCCCAGTCAGTGGAATAGCTGGCAAAGATTTTCTCTCACTTTGTAGGCTCTTTCTTGACTCTTAATCATTTTCTTTACTGTGCAGAAGCTTTTTAATTTGATGGTATTCTATTTACTGATTCTTGGTTTTTATTTCATGAGCTTTAGAGTTCTTGTTGAGGAATTAGTGCCTGCACTTATATGATGGATTGTTTACCCCTATGTTTTTTTCTAGCAGTTGCTAGGTTTCTGGTCTCATTTCTAACTCTTTGATTAATATTGATTTGACTTTTGTGCAGGGAGAAAGATAGGGCTATAAATTCATTCTTCTACATATGGACATCTTGATTTCCTAGCACCATTTTTTTTAAAGGGCTGTCTTTTCTCCAACATGTATTTTTGGTACCTTTGTCAGTATTAGATGGCTTTAAACATTTGAGTTTGTTTCTGTGTATTCTATTCCATTGGTCTTTGTATCTATTTTTATGCCAATACCATGCTGGTTTTGCTACTTTAGCTGTATATTATAATTTAAGATCAGGTTTTTTGATACTTCCTGAATCACTTTCCTTGTTTAGAATTGGGTCTCTCACTTTTTCAAATGAGATTCATTCTTCCAAATGAATTTTAGGGCTGTTTTTTCATAATATTATTAACCTCTATTCAAATCAATTTTTAAAAATGAATAAAATTTGCATTTTATTAGAAAAATGTGAACTACCCTAGAAGAAATAAAAACTATCTGAATAAGTTAAGAATGAAAATCCCCTCCACAAAACTCTAATATCATATTTTTAATGATAGTTCTTATTCCCCCATTTAAAAAAATTGTCCCAATCAAGAATGTTTTCATTACCCCAGAAAGTTTCTTTGTGCCCAGTACAGGCAGTAGGCTGGATGAGCCATGGGCCATAATTTGCCAAGCTGTGATGTCTTCAGTGATCAAAAGCATACTACAGTTATATCCACATTATATGTGGGAAATCTCAGGGATAAAAACCTGTAGTATTATCATTCAGGTTCAAATGACTTTATTCTTCTATTAACCCCATGGCAATAGAATTTTTTTTAAAAGCAGATAAGCTGTTTTTAGAAGATTCTCTTCTTATTCTCTTAAAATAGGGAACATTTGGAGGAACTAATCTCTTTCTTATTCAGTTACAATTTTTAGAATGTGATAAGAAACATTATTGCTGGATTCCTGAGACTCTTCTTTACAAAATCATTTTATATGTGATTGTTTTCCCAAAGTTTGCATTTAAATGCAAAAAAAAAAAAAAAAAAAGAAAACTGGTATAATATAATTTATTATCTAGATTTTGATGTCTTATAAGCCATTAACATCTACATTATTTAAGTATATTTAAATAATATAGGTAATCTATTATATATTTATTCAGTTCTTTTGCAAAATCAGTTTTATGAAGCAATTCCTTTGTGACCTACTGTACTTAAGAATTTGTCTATCTGTAGTTTTGCTCAGGGTCTAGGAAGTATTTTTTCCCTGTAAAATATCACAGGCTAGATGATAGTATTTTTTGTGACTATTAGGTAATTTTGACGTTCTCTATAAAACGGTAATAGGCCTACCATAGCCACATTGGAATCTGTGTAAAATGTAAAGAAAACATAATAAGATTACCAGAGTACTTTTTATATCCAGGAAAACACTGAAATTGTATGTATTTAACACAGTTTTAAGCTGGGCATGGTGGTGCAATACCTGTAATCCTAGTGACTCAGGAGGCCGGCCTCAGTAACTTAGTGAAACCCTGTCTCAAAAAATAAAAAGTACTATGGGTGTAGCTTCGTGGTAAAGTGCCCCTTGGTTTAATCCCCAGTAAACCCCCTCCCCCCAAAAAAAGAAAAAAAAGTTTCAATATGAATTATGAATCAGATCCTAAAGTTGAACTCATAAGTGATTGAATAGACTTTCTTAGAGTATTACTTTAAAAAGAAGTTGATATTTTTATCTTAACTAACCAACTGATTATTTTTAATTTTCTCAACTAAAAATTAAATGTCTGCATTTTTTTTTTCAGAGACATCAAACCTGACAATATATTGATGGATATGAATGGACATATTCGGTTAGCAGATTTTGGTTCTTGTCTGAAGCTGATGGAAGATGGAACGGTAAATAAAGAAATCCTAAATTACTCTATCCACAAACATTTTCTTTATTTATTTTAGAAACCTATCTGTCTATCCAGCTATCCATTTGTCTGTCTGTGTTCCATCTCCCTACACAGTGGTACTTGGACATGCTTGTTCATTAAAGGGCTTGTCTGTAAAGTCAGAAGCCATTTTACCTGCTCATATTCGTAATTGTGAGATTGATATTTTATGAGTGCTTGTTTGTTCATTAGCTGGTAACTATGTATTATTTTACTTGAGATATTTCTACATTTTCAGAAGGTAAGGAAAAAGAAGACTCCTGTAGAAAAAGGAAATGTTACTTTATCCCCACTTTGTAAATTTATTTTTTTCTTTCCTAATTATGTATTTATTCTGAGGGACAGTGCTCAACAAATGAATTCATTTTTTTTCCCAGAAAATCTCCTTGGTTGTATGTTCCCATGCTAATGTATTAATTAATTAATATAAACTTTAATTGGTAGAAACTTTTTTTTGAGAAACTTTTTTTTTATTTTTTTGAGAACAGCTTACTATAATATACTCTAAAGGCAATGAAAGTAGCACATTATTCTGGATTGGTAATTTCAGTTCTGAATACTTATCCTGAAGATATTTTTTAAGGCTTATTATAATACCTCTTTGGCCATGTTGATAGGAATAATTAGTATAGAATTAGCCATCCCGCTGTAAAATTAGATACAATATCTGAGACAGACATTTTTGGATAATAGACAACAAACAGCATTCAGACAATTATCCCTGACAGGAATGAACTCTTTTGGTGTACCTCTTAATTGCCCACGGTTGGAACAGTTCCCAACTGTCCTGAAGAAAGCTAGAGTTGGAGCAGAGTATAACATTTCTTCATAGATTAGGAGAAGAGACCAAAGTTGGGTTAGCTGTAGCAGCTGAAATCTGGCTTGATATTGGATTGAGAGAAAGAGAGAACAGTTGTACAGAGAGAGGTCCTAAAGTATCCCCCTCGGAGCACAAGGTTGGACTGTACATTTGTACTGCAAGATCATTTTGTATTTTCATGAAAATGATGCCTACATATTTTAGGAAGATATATAACAAAAATAATTCTAATTCTTCTCTCCTCCAAATGTTTCCCTAGAGAAAGATACTTAAACTTTTGATCCTTTCTTCTGGCATTTCATTTATTTACATATTTCTTAATATATTTGTGCTGCTTTCTCTTATTTATTAAGATTCTATTTAACTGGGTGTAGTGGCCTACTCCTGTAATCCCAGCAACTCAGGAGGCTGATGCAGGAGGATCATGAGTACAAAGCCAGCTGTAACAACTTAGCAAGGCCCCAAGCAATTTAGTGAGACCTTGTTCCAAAAACAATATTAAAAAAAAGGGGGACTGGGAATGTGGCTCAGTGGTTAAGCTCCTCTTGTTCAACCCCTAGACCTCCCCTCTCCCCAATTTACTTATTTCCTATCATGGAAGATGAACCTTCAGGTCTCTTAGTCCCCTCTATTCAACCAGTTCACTTCCTTTCCTTCTTCCCAGTGTAATTACCACATAATCTGCCATTAAATCCTCTTTGAGATTTTTTTATGATGATACTAATATTCATAGTGTGCTATAAAGTTTGTTTTAATTGCATTTCTTCATTTTTTCATTCTCCCTGAAGTAAGTAGCCACTTTACATTCCTTAGTTGTTTTTTGCAGTTCTGGGGATTCAATCCAGGGCCTCAAGAATGCCAGGCAAGCGCTCTACCACTAAGCCCTAATGGCTTAGTTTTTAAATTTTAATTCATACCTATTTATCACAAGCTTTCCACCAAATGTTAATTTAGCAATTCCTTTTTCTTCTCAGACACATTATACAAATAAGCAATTCCCTTTTATTTCTTGAAGATATCTATACTGAAGCCTTGCCTTCTGCTGTCCTAATCTTGACTGTTTGTTCTTCTTCTTCTTTTTTTTTTTTTTTGTAGTTGGACACAATACCTTTATTTTATTTACTTATTTTTATGTGGTGCTGAGGTTTGAATCCAGCACTTATATGTGCTAGGTGAGCGCTCTACCGCTGAGCCACAACCCCAGCCCACTTGACTGTTCCTTCTTTAGGCCTACTGCAGAACTGTCTTCCTAGGAGTACACCCTTATCATGGAATTTACTGTGTTGCTCTATGATATTGGATCCTCTGTTTCTAGATCTCTTGTATGTCCTTTTCACTGATGGTAGCTGCCTGAGGAAGGTTCCAATGGAAGGAAATATTTCATAATTTTCAATGTCTGACAAATGACCTAATTTCTACCTAACAGGGGCGACGGCCAGTGTCTCATTGGGTGGGTTTGTCTTCCTGCCAAGGATGGTGTAAGCCACATGGGAAAAGTCTCAAATAATTAGTGAAGAACAAAACACAAGTAGTCAGAAATATATTTCCTAAAAACAGAGCCCCTGATAGATCTAGTCCACATGGGTACTGGAACTAGACAAAGGAAAGAGGGCTCCAGTGGGCTATTTAAGGGGTTACATCAAAGGCAGGAATAAGATTTCAAGGGTGGAGTCTTGCTATGTGATATCTTGTGGTCATCAGGTTGATTGGCATTTTGGTAGGTCACACCCATCTCAGGTGCTGTGTGGAATCTTTGGCAGAGCTTGAGGTGGGGGAGTTCACCTGAATCAGGTGATCAATTCCTGTGGGGGTGTCATGGGAAGTTCCCAATGCCAGACTTATCCCCTCACTAGGCTACAATGCACAACACAGTTCACACACAACCCATGGATTGTTCCTGACATCTACTCTCTTATCTGATTGATAATTTGGACATAGTATTCTAGATTTGAAGCAATTTTTCTATTAGAAGTTAGATGAATTATATTGTCTTCTTAGAGGGTTACTGTTGGCATTTGTTGTCATTCTGGTTCTCAGTTCTTCTATTATAGTCTTTCTGTATATCTCCAGAAGCTTTTAGGTTGTCTCATTTATTCCTACTGTTTGAAAATATTATTATTATTATATGTGGATCATTGTTATTTTTATTTTAACCTGGGCAGGTGCCCCAAATCTAGGAGCCTTTACCAAAGTCTGTGACTTTCAGTATTAAGCATGATGTTGCTTTTTGGCTCTTAAATCTGAGTCATTTAATCATTTTAACTTCAGAAGTCAGTTTCTGATGTAGAAATGTCCATTGTAATTCATTTTCTTCCTCTAAAACTGTCTTGACTATTCTTGCCCCCTTGTTTTTCCATGTAATTGTTAAAGTGGTTTATATTCATACCCGTACCCAGGTATAGATATTCTTTAACAAATACAAGCTTGAAGACCTACAGTGAATTTAGAGATTGATTTGAGGAATTTATAACATGGAATGTTCCCTTTCATAAATGTATTCATTATAATTATTTTAGAGTTCTTTGTATTTCTGTTAGTAAAATTTTATAAAATTTACTATTATTAATCTATTGCTTAATAATAGTAAATAATAACATGTTATATTTATTCCTAGATACCTTGTGAATTTTTTTTTGGTTATGATAAATTTCAGTTTGGATTTGCAGTTTAATAGCATATAGCTCTTTTTAGGCCACAGTTGGTTTTCTGTGTTCATTCTTTTTTTTTTTTTTTTTTTAAATTTTTTATTGTGGGTTGTTCAAAACATTACAAATTTCTTGACATATCATATTCCACACTTTGATTCAAGTGGGTTATGAACTCCCACCTTCACCCCATACCCAGATTGCAGAATCACATCAGTTACACATCCATTGATTTACAAATTGCCATACTAGTGTCTGTTGTGCTTCGCTGCCTTTCCGTCCTCCACCCTCCCCCCTCCCCACCTCTCCCCTCCCCTCCCCTCCTCTCTCTCTACCTCCTCCACTATATAACCCTGAGGGTCTCCTTCCATTACCATGCAATTTCCCTTCTCTCTCCCTTTCCCTCTCACCTCTCATCCCTGTTAAATGTTAATCTTCTTCTCCTGCTCTTCGTCCCTACTCTGTTCTTAGTTACTCTCCTTATATCAAAGAAGACATTTGGCATTTGTTTTATAGGGATTGGCTAGCTTCACTTAGCATAATCTGCTCTAATGCCATCCATTTCCCTGTAAATTCTATGATTTTGTCATTTTTTAATGCAGAGTAATACTCCATTGTGTATAAATGCCACATTTTTTTTATCCATTCGTCTATTGAAGGGCATCTAGGTTGGTTCCACAGTCTTGCTATTGTGAACTGTGCTGCTATGAACATCGATGTAGCAGTGTCCCTGTAGCATGCCCTTTTTAGGTCTTTAGGGAATAGACCAAGAAGGGGAATAGCTGGGTCAAATGGTGGCTCCATTCCCAACTTTCCAAGAAATCTCCATACTGCTTTCCAAATTGGCTGCACCAATCTGCAGTCCCACCAGCAATGTACAAGTGTACCCTTTTCCCCACATCCTCGCCAGCACTTGTTGTTGTTTGACTTCTTAATGGCTGCCAATCTTACTGGAGTGAGATGGTATCTTAGGGTGGTTTTGATTTGCATTTCTCTGACAGCTAGAGATGTTGAGCATTTTTTCATGTACTTGTTGATTGACTGTATGTCCTCCTCTGAGAAGTGTCTGTTCAGGTCCTTGGCCCATTTGTTGATTGGGTTGTTTGTTTTCTTATTGTCTAATTTTTTGAGTTCTTTGTATACTCTGGATATTAGGGCTCTATCTGAAGTGTGAGGAGTAAAGATTTGTTCCCAGGGTGTAGGCTCCCTATTTACCTCTCTTATTGTTTCTTTTGCTGAGAAAAAACTTTTTAGTTTGATTAAGTCCCATTTGTTGATTCTAGTTATTAACTTTTGTGCTATGGGTGTCCTATTGAGGAATTTGGAGCCCGACCCCACCGACTGTAGATCGTAGCCAACTTTTTCTTCTATCAGACGGCGCGTCTCTGATTTGATATCAAGCTCCTTGATCCATTTTGAATTCACTTTTGTGCATGGCAAGAGAAAGGGATTCAGTTTCATTTTGTTGCATATGGATTTCCAGTTTTCCCAGCA